GAAGAGCCACCGGCCATCGACTACGTTCACCCCAGGTGGGGGAACTGCGTCGACGTAGGTACCGATGGATCTCCAAGATGCCATCTCCTGCTCCATGGCAGCTATCCACGAAGAGGCTCAGGGTCCCGAGGTAACCTCAGCGTAGGTCCGAGGGGTCGGGATGTCGAGGGTGTCTGGGTCACCCTCAGGGACTAGTAGCATGGAACAGAGATGGGGGGCGGCCTCAGACAGGAAAGCGAGCTCGAACTGCTTGTCTTCTAGGACGTCACTGCCAAGAGTAGCCACACCCTCGACGGCCGGAGGGCAGGCAGGGTCAGAGACCAGAGCGGTCGGGGGCGAAGTCAGTGACAGGCAGCGGGTAGCGGCGAAGTCAGTTCCAGGTAGCGGGTAGTGGCGAAGTCAATGACAGCAGTGACAAGAGCCGACAGACTCGAGACAGGAACGGACGGGTCGGTAACGAGAGAGGCAAGGATACAAGGAACAAGGGGACGTGCAGCACGGAGGAAGTCCGAGAACGGAGGCGGGGCCACAGCAAGCGACGACGGAGGAGGAGACAGGAGGAGAGGAGGAGCACGAGATGCGTGAGAGCGCAGCAACATAGGGTGAGAACGCGGAACAGGGGAGGTAGGACGAGCACGAGACGGACAACGAGACCGGACGTGAGATGGAGGAGTTGGGTCAAGAGAGAGGGGAGGAGACACAGGAGGACAACGGGAAGGGGAACGAGCCGGAGAGGAGTTCGGGGGAGGAAACAGGGGGCCGTGGACTGGCAAAGAAGGAGGCGGCGGCAGCGGGGGAGGCAGTGACGAGCAGTCAGGGGAAGGGAGACCGAAGAGGCGAAGAGCGAACACCGGCGGCAACAGCTGCGACTGCTCCCCGACTCCAACACCAGAACCTCCAGCGACAGCACGGCTCCCTCTGAGAAGCCCCACGCCAGCACCCCCAGAGCCCGCTCCAGAACCAGCCCCTGTCGGCTCCCCAGCACCCCCAGAATGCACGAACCCCAGCGGTGGTGACGACAGCAACTGCGGCAGCGGCGGCAGTGGCCGAGGCGGCAGCGGCGGGGACAGCACGGCGGCAACATGGGAGGCAAGACCAGGGCAGGGACAGGCGGGGGAAGAGACTCCGCCGAGCCACGAGAGTCAGCGGACTCCTCAGCAGGGACACTCGACAGGAGGGGGGTGACGTGAGACACACCAGACGGGGTAGGGCGGGGAGGGGGGTGGACAGGGTCGACCGAGGGAGGGGGGGGCACCAGGAACTGGGGGGGGGTGATTGGGGGACCACGGTGGGGAAAGCGGTGGTAGAAGGAGACGGACTCGTCAAAAATGACGTCACGAGACTGAAAGAACCGGTGAGAAGGCGGGTGGTAGAACTGCTAGTCCGACGAGTCAAGGGGGAAACCTAGGAAGACACAGGGGACAGTGCGGGCAGTGAGCTTGTCCGTGCCAGAGGCACGAACGTGTGCAAGGCAGCCCTAGACGTGGAACGAAGATGCATCACCAGGGGACCCGGTCCAGAGGAGGGTCGGCGAAACATGCGGCCGCTGAGGGTGCGGCCAGAGGTTAAGCTGGTGAGCGGTGAAGCGAACGACGAACGGCCACATAAAATGGGGTGCACCGGCAGGGATCATCGAGGTAGGAGCCACCTCCATGACCAAACCGATGCGTCGCTCAGCGACCCCATTCTGCTGCGGGGAGTCCGGCAATGTGAACGTCTGGGTGATGCCCTCCGCACAACAGAAGCGACCAAGGCAGCCAGAGGCAAACTTGCCACCATGGTCGGAGTGAAGACGCAAGACAGGGAGACCTCGGTGAACACGCGCAGAGACAAGCCACGGGAGAAGAATGTCAGGCAAGACGGCCTTCCGCTCCCGGGGGAAGATGGTGGTGTAGTGGGTGTAGTCCTCGACAAGCACTAGGAAGTAGCGCTCACGATGCGGCCCATGGACGGGGGCGGGGCCCCGGACGTCCATGTGCAGGGTCTGCAGCGGTGCGGAGGTAGGGGGGAACGAGGAGGAGTGAGGGGCTCGGCGGAGCCGACCCTCGACACTGGGCGTGCACGGAGGAGCGGGTGAGGAGGGGAGCGTAGGGAATGACTCTGGAGGCCTAGGACAAGACGGTGCTGGGACATGTGACGGAGAAGGGTGAGGGCAGGGTGACCTAGACGGTGGTGCCACAGAAGTGAGGGGTGAGTAAGCGATCGACACGAGCACGCCGCAGCAACCTGGGAAGACGCAGGTACCTGGGGAGGCATCCCAACCGGTGGGGAAGCGGTGTCTAGCGTGAACAGGTCGAACACCTGGTCCCGGGGGAAAGTGGTGAGGGGGGCACCAGTGGCGGCCTTAGTACAGACAGTGTACCGTTCGTGCCCAGGGAACATAGTGGTGACGCCAAGGTCCTGGAGGCAGCCGACACCAACTAGGTTCCTAGAGAATGAGGGGATGTGCAGGCCTGTAAGGGAGCCTGAGGGAACCGCTGGATAGGGGAGAGTAGTGGAGCTACGTGCAACTACAGGACCGGAGGAACGGTCTGCAAGAGCAACTGCAGCAGGAGCGGCAAGTGGCGTAAGCATCGTGGAGTCGCTAAAGAAACACCGGGAAGCGACGGAGTCAAGGGTGAAGGAGAGCGCGGCAGCGGCGACAGAGGTCGGAGGAGTGAGGGAGAACCCTAGGTTAAACAAGGCAGGGGATCCTACGCCTGATGCAGCAGGGGAGCCTGAACTAGGCACAGTGGGCACACCTACGTTAGGCAACACAGGGTAATACGAACCAGTCACACAAGAGTCATCAACATGCAGCGCATACAAAGCAGAGCTAATCTCATCCATGAACACAACGATGGAGCAGACTGTGCCAGTCGAGGAGGTCAGGCGACGGACCGAAGCGGAGACGAAACAGGTCGTCTAGCAACGAGCGGGGGTATGACCGATCTTACCGCACACGAGGCTGCGGCGAGGACCGGTCTGGAGCTGGCACTCGTAGCGCCCGTCACTCTGACTACCACCTGACGGCACGCCGCGCGAGCGACCACTGCGACCAACGTCACCTCCAGCTCCAGGCCACCCGTGGGGGAGATGGCCGACCCTCCGCTGCTGCTGCTGCTTCTCCGGCTGCTGCTGCTGCTGGTCCAACTGCGGAGCCTCCTGCTGCTGCTGGTCCAGCTGCGGAGCCTCCTGCTGCTGCTGGGGCGGCTGCTCCGGGGCACCATCCCCAGCCCCCTGGTTAGTACTAACAGCGGGCGAGCCACCTCCACCACCGGCACCACTCTCTCCTCCGCTACCTCCGCCGCACCCAGCCTTGGGGCGGCGACCCTGACCTGGATGAAACTGCACTGCGGCGGCTGTCTCCACAGCCGCAGCTGTCTCAGCAACCGCAGTAGAGCCGTCGGAGTAAGAGCACTGAGTAGGGGCACAGCCCTGAAAGATAGAGACTGGCACGGTACCGCTAGACTGGGCGATAGAGCGCTGACGGGTCTCTATGGCAGACAGGGTGTCGACAAAGTCAGTGAGGGTGAGGTCAGCGGGGTGGAGACTAAGGAAGTGATTGTGGGCGGTGGCAAGACGGTCAAGGAGGCGGGTGGCAAGCAGGTAGTGGGTAGAGCAAATGGGGGGCTGAAACACCCGAAGCTGAGCCTCAGTGCAGGCAGCGCGCCAGGTCATGTCTAGCGTGCGCAGGTGGGCGGCTAGGTCAGCGACAGTGGGGAAAGACGCAAGGTCAGGAAGGGCATGCCTAATCGCAAGCTGTGCGACAACGTCACGCGAGAACTAGACAGCACGGGCAAGGGCAGCAGCTGCAACGGACTCACGGTCAGCAGAGGTGGGGCGGGGAGGGCAGCAAGGGGGTCCGGACAGGGGAGCGTACCATCGATGTGGACGGCCAGGGAGTGGCCGTCCTGCCGCTGAACAGTCAGGTGTCGCTGGAGGTCGACGAGCCATGAGTCAAACTCAATCGGCTGCCCCTCAGCATCAAAGCGCAGGACTGAGCCCGCCATCATGGTTGCAGCAGCAGGAGAAAGACTGTACTGGGCAGGAGAGCACGGCGGAAAGCGGTGATGTGCGGTGCAGAGTGGTACTGTGCGGTGGAGGGAGGTGAAGTACGGTAGGGTGCAGTGCAGTGCGATGCAGTGCGGTGTAGGGCGGTGCAGTGCGGTGCCGTGCGGTGCCGTGCGGTGCAGTGCAGTGCAGAGCAGTGGCGGGCACTGCAGCTCAGTGCAGAGGAGCCGAGGACAGCGGCGAGGCATCTAGAAGACGGGGCCGCGGGCGGCAAGGCGACGGGGCCGGCAAAGAGGCGGGGCCGGCAGGGAGACAGGGGCCGGCTAGGCGACGAGGCCAGCTAGGTGACGGGGCCGCGGAGCCGCTAGGTGACGGGGCCGCGAGGCCGCTAGGTGACGGGGCCGCAGGGCCGCGAGGTGACGGGGCCGCTAGGTGACAGGGCCGCGGGGTGACGGGGCCGCGGGGCCGCTAGGGGACGGGGCCGCGGGGCCGCGAGGGGACGGGGTAACGGGGCCGCTAGGTGCCGAGGTCGCGGGGCCGCTAGGGGACGGGGCCGCGGGGCCGCTAGGGAATGGGGCCGCGGGGCCGCTAGGTAACGGGGCCGCGAGGTGACGGGGCCGCGAGGCCGCGAGGTGACGGGGCCGCGGGGCTGCGAGGTGAGGGGCCGCGGGGCCGCTAGGGGACGGGGTCGCGGAGCCGTTAGGTGACGGGGCCGCGGGGCCGCTAGGGGACGGGGCCGCGGGGCCGCGGGGCCGCGAGGTGACGAGCCGCGGGGCGACGAGGCGGCTAGGACCTAGGGCAGAAGCGCTAGGGGAGGGGGGGGGACCTACCTACTCATGATACCATGTTCAAGTGAAAGAATGACTAGAACAAGGCATACATGGGAATATAACCTAATGGGTTGTACTCCCTAAGGCACAACCCTATATAGTCTACAGAAACATACAATATATGTTTGACACCGTCAACCCACGTCAACTGTTTGTAGTACTGTAGCAGTGTTGACTTGATAATCCCCGTTGTTGCAGTCTTCGCGTATTCGTACACTCACACGAGACTCCGGAAATGCCTTTCATCATTTCCAACACATGGCAGGCACAAAGAAAATGGTAATAATTTCCTTCGGGTCTACTATCCTTCCTGGCACAACACGTTCGCCATATTAGCCCTACAAAAACACATGCGTATATCACTCCCCCCCAACTCTCGTCTTGTGAGAAACAGACTGACCATTGCTTCGTAATAAAGCCCAGAAGTCACCACTGTGAGAAATCAATCAGATCTTTAGGCGCAGCAGCTGGTTGCTTACTTCGGTCGGAGTTCAGTGTGCTGCTGCTGCTTGCACTGGGAACCGAATTGGATATAACATCGCTGTTACTGCTGCTTCCAGCGCCTAGAACACCAGCGTTCCATGTATGACTTAGAGAGATGCCAGCAGCAGCTGCATGGCTGGGTTGATAAGTTTCATGGGCGGTGGTGGTGGGGGGATGGGTGTGGACCCTGCTTGCTGTGCTGCCGTTGATGCTGCCGTTGATGCTGCCGTTGATGCTGCTGTTGATGCTGCCGTTGATGCTGCCGTTGATGCTGCCGTTGATGCTGCCGTTGATGCTGCCGTTGATGCTGCCGTTGATGCTGCCGTTGATGCTGCCGTTGATGCTGCCGTTGATGCTGCCGTTGATGCTGCCGTTGATGCTGCCGTTGATGCTGCCGTTGATGCTGCCGTTGATGCTGCCGTTGATGCTGCTGTTGATGCTGCTGTTGATGCTGCCGTTGATGCTGCTGTTGATGCTGCTGTTGATGCTGCCGTTGATGCTGCCGTTGATGCTGCCGTTGATGCTGCCGTTGATGCTGCTGTTGATGCTGCGTTGATGTGTGTTGATGCTGCCGTTGATGCTGCTGTTGATGCTGCCGTTGATGCTGCGTTGATGCTGCGTGCCGTTGATGCTGCCGTTGATGCTGCGTTGATGCTGCGTTGATGCTGCCGTTGATGCTGCGTTGATGTGCGTTGATGCTGCGTTGATGCTGCCGTTGATGCTGCCGTTGATGCTGCTGTTGATGCTGCCGTTGATGCTGCTGTTGATGCTGCCGTTGATGCTGCTGTTGATGCTGCTGTTGATGCTGCCGTTGATGCTGCCGTTGATGCTGCCGTTGATGCTGCCGTTGATGCTGCTGTTGATGCTGCTGGGATGTGCGGCACTAGGCTGAGCAGCTGCACTGGCAACGCCTGCTGGCGGCGGTAGGGGCGTTGAATTGGGCCAGGAGGAGGAACAGGTGGCGGGGGGAGGGGAGGCAGCAACCGGGGCAGAAGCAGGAGTAGGGACAGAAGCAGCAGCAGCAGCAGCAGCAGCAGCAGCAGCAGCAGCAGCAGCAGCAGCAGCAGCAGCAGCAGCAGCAGCAGCGGGGTTGTGGTAGAGGTGGCGTTCATATTTGTCTCGGATCCACCGCTCCACCTCTGCATCTGGTGAGGCTGATGAGGGTGCTCTCACACTGGAAGGGACGTTGCCTGGGGAGAGGGAGGGGTGGCGGAAGGGCAGGTGTAAAGAGAGAATACAGAGGGCGGGTTGGCATTGGACAGGGTAGCGGCTCTGCTCATACATGCCTCTGGTGCACCTTCCCACCTCGCCAGCATTTGCGACTGACTGACGGATGGAGACCCCCAAGATCGCGAGGCCAAGGCAGAAGGATAGAGTGGCGGGCGAGCGGTGAGCACCCGAGAGTGCTGCTGCTGTTGCCGGCAGTCTCTCAGCAGCTTTTCATCTCGTGGCCCGTGGCCCGTGGCCCGTGGCGAGCCACTAGAATCGAGATACTGCAGCATCTTGACCTCATCGTTTGCCACCTTGACCTCGTAGCTCACCCTGCCAGATCTCAGCCGCTCGTCCGTTACCAATGGCTGTCATCGCGGCAATCTCCCCCGCGCTCCATGCGTCCAGCTCGACGCATGTCGTGCCCACGCGCGCGCCCCTGTGCTCCCCTGAAGCGCGCCCTCATAACTTACCCTGCCAGATCGCAGCCGCTCGTTTGTTCCCCATGGCTCTCATTGCGGCGATCTCCCCCGCGCTCCACGCGTCGAGCTCGACGCACTTGGTGCGCGTGACGTGCACGCCGATGCCTCTGTGAATGCCGTAGCAACGGTTGCACAGGAACACGCCCAGCGACACCGACGCGAAGCGCGGGAAGCGGCCGCCGCAGTCGGCGCAGGTCTCGTTGCCCGGCGCGCGGAGGAGCGCCTTGAGCTCGCGCTGGTGCGCCGCTTGGAGGGCCTTGTCGTGCTTGTACGCGGTAGCGGCGGACGCCATTAACGCGGACGATGGCGACTCCAGGCTGGAAAAGCAAATATCGCCGGGATCACCGGGAGGACGGCTCGGTAAGAGTGACGGCGCGCACCAGAAGGCGTCCCTTTTGAGGCGAATGAAAAGCAGACTTAATAAAGGATGATCGCTTTTAGGGTTTGGGTCGACGGTCAGGACGAAGATGGACGGCGCGCAACCCAAGGCGCGCACGCGCGACCCGAACGTCTGCGTGGATTCACACGACAAAGCGATCGCCACGTGGCAGTCATGCGTAGGGTTGCAAGGGACGAGCGATTAGCGACGACAGGTCAGACATGCTTACGAGTCGCTGTGGCATCTATTACGAGTCGCTGTGGCATCTATTACGAGTCGTAGTTGAGACAACTCAGTCACGCTCTACGACTGCGGCGCGTCGTGCTTCACCAGCTGTGCACGCGTCTATCTATTACGACTGCCAGTCGTGACTCAGCGGGTCGTGACTCGGAAGTCACCTAAGCGGCTGCGTCGTGCCTCACCCACTGTGCGTGCAGGCAGCCGATTGCGACTCGGAGTTGCCTGAGCAGCTTCAGAAAGAGCCGGAGGGACGGGCAGTGAAAATAACACGCCAATTGCAACTCGGCGTTTCGCCTCACGCCTGTGTTGCGTGCATGTTTCAGGGCGTGTCCAGCGCGTTCATTTCGCCCCAACTCGAGTTTTTGACGTTTTTTTAACACGCCGAAATATTGATTCGCCAAGTGTGAATGTGTTAAGGTACACCTACAGTATCAGCAGCAAAACGCGCAGACACGAGCCCCGCCCGTGTCTCGACAAATGAGTGGGTGCGCAGCGCGCACATAACAGACTGACACGAGAAAAAATTAGGGTAACCGGATTTCGCCCCGGGAAAGAGGCCCCGCCCGCTTTCGCGAACACGCATTACGAGCCACGACTCCACCCAGGGGGGGAAAAATGGAGGGCTCAATTTCCCCCTCGCCATAGGAAAAAAACACACAAACACAGGACAAATTCCAATTCTTCTTCCGCTTTTTCGCCGTTCTTCGCAAGCGTCACGAAAGCCTGGCGAATGTAAGCGTTTCTTTTTTCGCCAGCCAGGATTTGGACGTTTCTGCCGTGTATATAATTTGGGCACGATTTTCATTCGGTTCGAAAACGTGCGGCCCACGTCTGTGGGCACGTTTGGAGGGTGTCTGCCAAAACCGTCAATTAATCGTGCGTGTCCGAATGGACACGAAATTTCGGGTTACCATGTCGAAATTTCGTACCTGATATGCAAATTGAATAGTAAACGAACGCGCTGGACACGCCCTCAGATCTCGTGCAGCAGTACTCCAGGGTGACCAACGCCACCCGCCAATCCATGAAGCCCAGCCCAGCCCGCATCTTCACTCGCTCACCGCCACTTCTCGCATCCAAGTCAGCTACTTCGCGTCGCCGACACGCCGCACACGTCGCACGCCTCGCCATCCTCGTCTTCCAAGAGTAGGGCACATCGCTTTCACGAATCTGTTAGGAAAAGGTTATTCTTTCGCAATCCTTGAAAGCGGCTCTCCTTGAAGCGCGTTCTCGTGGCTTCGGGTTCGTTGCGTCGCGTCGCATTACATCAGCCGTCTCTGTCGATAGCTTGCCAACGCCTCAAGACTAGCCTGCCTGCCCGCCTAGCACCTACACGTTCGCATCGCATCGCCTGTCTCAGGCGTTAGCGTGCCTAATACCCTACACGGGTGCGCCGGGTGTGACTTAGACGGGTGCGATGGGTGCGCAGACTTCCGCAGCCAAGCACAGCGCACCCGCCGATACCCAACCCCCCTTGGGCCCCATCATGTCAACCACATCACCGCTTCACATCCGCGTGCACCGCTCTGCACCCAACCGCGTGACCAAGCGCAGACCCCATAATTATGCGCCCCGTTCCCCATCAGCCGTGCCCCCAGCAGCCGCGCATCTCTCCCCTCATGGGCGCAAGCCCGCCACCCGCGGGTCGCTCTTCGCCGCCATCCTCGGCGCGCCGGGGGCGCACCCCGCCGCGCTCGCGCTCGCCATCGTGGGGGCGGCATGCGTTGTCTGCATCCTAGTGCTGGTCGGCATCCAGCTGTCGTCTAGGGGGATGTTTAAGAGCGGCGCAGATGGAGGTTGGCGGAGAGGGATGGGGGGAAGATGATGCTGTAGTGAGGCGGCTTATAACGAGGCATGCACTTGTGGTGAAAAGGGGGGCTATCAAGAAAGGAGAGGGCGAATCTGTGTGGGGGTGGCGGAGAGCGGTGTGGGGCAGCTGAAGGGGCAGATAATGGGGCCGGTGAAGGGGCAGTTGGGCGGGGGTGGGGGGGTTTGAGTTATACGAGGGGGCAATGCGGGCAGAGGCAGGTGTGAGGGGATGAGGTGCGGGTGACGCTTTAAGGGGGGAGAAGGCGGGTGTGTCTTGGGGCGAGGCGCCTCAAACAGCCACCCACCTGCCGCCTGGGGAGGGGACTCTAGAGTCGATTCGAATGTCATGCTGCCCAGGGAGGGGACAGAAGACACGAGCTGTGGGGGTGGAGGCACGGGATAGCGGGGGAGGGTGGGGGAGGGTGGGGGAGGGTGGGGGAGGGTGGGGAAGGAAAGAGGGGAGGAGAAGAGCAGTAGTTGGAGTAGGAAGGTGGGGAGAAGTGGTGGTGAAGAATGTGTGCATGGGGCACGCAGGAGCCCACTGTGGCCACGTTTGGGGTCCGATTCCCTTCCTTGCGCGCCGCCCACACATGGCACAGGTGGGGGGAGGGCGCAGGTGGGGGGAGGGCGCAGGTGAGGGGAGGGCGCAGGTGAGGGGAGGGCGCAGGTGAGGGGAGGGCGCAGGCACACTGTGCCCTGCTCGGTACTTGAGGGGAGAGCATTAGCTTGAGTGAGGCAATCTTAGGAGGGGCGTCCTGTTTCTCTTGCAGTTCACTCCTCTGCCCCCCTCCCTCCCCTCTCCCCTCTGCTGTCCCCCACTTCCCCCTTCCCCCCCCTTCCCCCCTTCCCCCTTCCCCCTTCCCCCCCCTTCACCACTGCTCTGCCCCTCTCCCCCCCATCCTCATTCCTCTGACGCGCTTCTCCCTTTCTCACCTTCCCCCCTCCCTCCACCATTACTCTGTGCCCCCGCTCGCCCCTCCCCCATTGCTCTGCCCCTCTCCCCCTCTCTCCCCTTGCCCATTGCTCCGCCCCTCTCCCCCTTCCCCTCCCTCCCCCATTGCGCTGCCCAATCCAGGATCCTGGGTTGGTTGCAGCAGCCGGCAGCTGGGTTGCACTCCCTCTCCCGCAGTACTTTCATCTCAGCTACATGGGCTGTGGCGTGCATGGTGGAGCACGGCAGGTGGATGCTGCTTGAGAAGTCCAAGCTAAGTGTTAGTATTCTCGTTTTGAGACGTCTCGAAACGTGCCGAGGTGGAGCGCACTGTCGCTTTTAAGGCAGTTCTTTTCAGGCTTGCTTGGCACAGCTTGAAGCTCCAAGCTTTGGCAAGCTCTAGAAACTTGAAACACAGTGCTGTGACATGGACGAACAAGGCTGGCGTGATTTGATCTGCATTGGTTGGTACATAACAAAATCAATCTAAGCACGTTCTCTGCTCAGGGCAGCTTTTCGCCTCACCTCAATGACTCGTGTCATTGAGCTTTCACCTCACTGCCTACAGTGGCTTTCGGCTCAGCATGCTCTCAGCTTGGAAGCACAATAGACAAAGCACGAATCGAGGTGGTTCATATCACCATACACACCCAAACCAAGCACGGCTGCTAACCTGCAGAGAGCACTGCGACGACTTGTTCTGCACGATACTTGAGACACCGCAGCGTCTACATACAGGGTGGTCGGCTGTTGCACTGCGAGAGACACCTTTCAACACCTGCCTTGGTCCAACCGCCTGCCTTAACTCCTTCCTCCAACCCCCCCTCCCCTCCAGCTCTCCTGCTTCCCAAGCAGAGCCCTAACTCCACAGCATTGCTAGAAGGGGCAAGGACCGTGCCAGGGCAGTTGCAGCAGCCATGCCGTCTGTTCGAACCAACACGAGCCAAAGAGCGTGAGGTGGTGGGAGGGCGAAAGGGTGCCTGCCGCCTGTGGCTCGCTGGAGCTTTACAACACTGCTGCTCTATAGCGATGCTTGTGGGGGACACGGCCCGTGCCACGGCAACCCCAGCAGCCATGCCATCTGCTCGAAGCGATCGGAGCCGAAAAACATGAGGCGGTGGGAGGGGGAGAGGGTGGCGCCTGTGGCGAGGCGGATGGGCCGAGCAGTGGGGGCGACAAAGAGAGTGGGCACGCCGAAGGCTCCTCTCTCTATGGCCGCCCGTGTGCTGGCCTGAGAGGGGCAGGAAGAGGGGGTTGCGTATGGGGGGCATGGGGAGCATGAGGGGGAGAGGGGCAAGAGCGTGGCGCCTGTGGCGAGGCAGACGGGGCGAGCAGTGGGGGCGACAAAGAGAGAGGGCACGCCGAAGGCCCCCCGCTCTATGGCCGCACGTGTGCTGGCCTGGGGGTTGAAAGAGAGGGAGGGCATGCACGGGGTGATTCATGGCATGGCTGGCACATGGCGAGGCACATGGCTGGCACATGGCGAGGCACATGGCGAGGCACATGGCGAGGCACATGGTTGGCACATGTCGAGGCACAAAAACAGGCATTGGTGACGAAAAGAGTGGGCACCCCAAAGGCGCCCCCCTCCATGGCCGCTTGGGTGCTGAAATGGGGCTTGGTATGTGCATGGGGGGTGCATGGGGATGGTTGACAGATGGTAAGGCAGGGCACCAAGTGGCGGGCATGACGACAGTGGCGGGCATGACGACAGTGGCGGGCATGATGACAGTGGCGGGCATGATGACAGTGGCGGGCATGATGACAGTGGTGGGCATGATGACAGTGCAGGGCATGATGACAGTGGCGGGCATGATGACAGTGGCAGGGCATGATGACAGTGGGCCCGCCAAACGCCCCCCGCTCCATGGCCGCCTGTCAATAAGTGCGGATGATGTCAATGAGAGCGGATGTCAATTAGTGCGGATGATGTCAATGAGAGCGGATGTCAATTAGTGCGGATGATGTCAATGAGAGCGGATGTCAATTAGTGCGGATGATGTCAATGAGAGCGGATGCCAATTAGTGCGGATGATGTCAATGAGAGCGGATGTCAATTAGTGCGGATGATGTCAATGAGAGCGGATGCCAATTAGTGCGGATGATGTCAATGAGAGCGGATGTCAATTAGTGCGGATGATGTCAATGAGAGCGGATGTCAATTAGTGCGGATGATGTCAATGAGAGCGGATGTCAATTAGTGCGGATGATGTCAATGAGAGCGGATGTCAATTAGTGCGGATGATGTCAATGAGAGCGGATGTCAATTAGTGCGGATGGTGTCAATGAGAGCGGATGTCAACAAGTGCGGATGATGTCAATGAGAGCGGATGTCAACAAGTGCGGATCATAGCAGGAATCATACTCTTCACCAATGACTCCCTCTGTGAAGCAACCGACCATCACGGCAACTAAGCCCCACCACTGGTTCACAGTGAGAGCTTCGTGAGCCTACAGAGAGGATGCACAGGGGAGAGAATACGTCAGGCCTGCGCTGTGAGTCTACAATGTAATGCAGGCGCATGACAGGCTCTGTGAACACGCATGCGCGGTGTGCCAGGAGTGGGGGGCTGTCGGACTTACTGTTAGTGCCTGCTTGTCAGCAGGCGGGGGAGCGAGCAGCAGGGAGGAGCAGCAGGGAGGAGCAGCAGGGAGGAGCAGCAGGGAGGAGCAGCAGGGAGGAGCAGCAGGAAGGAGCAGCTCTGACAGGTGTACAACGCAGGCCCGAGACAGGCTCAGTGAGCACACATGCACGGTGTGCCAGAAGTTAGGAATGCGGGGCTGTTGAACTCACAGCAAGGGCGTGCTTGACAGCAGGCGAGGCAGCAGCAGATAAGAGAGCCTCCTGCTATGACGGTGGCGTAGCAGCATGATATGCAGGCGCACAGGCCCACAGGCCCATGCACATGCATGCACACTGCTGTTTGGGTGAGAGGCTCTTATACTCACAGCAAGAGCGTGCTTGACAGCAGGCGAGGCAACAGCAGAGAGGAGGGCCTCCTGCTGTGACGGTGGAATGCCAGCCTGGCAGCAGGCGTGGCGGAGAAAGGCTGGCGCTGCGATGTCGGTTCGAGGGGGATGGATGCTTGAACAAGGAGCAGGAGGAGATGTGGTAGCTGCATGGTCGAGGTCAGGCGCGGCAGAGGAGGAAAGGGAAGGTGTACAGGCGGAAGAGGGGGAGGAAGAGGAGGAGGGGGGGGAAGAGGAGGAGGGGGAGGAAGAGGAGGAGGGGGAGGAGGATGAGGATGAGGAGGTGGTCGAGATGGAGTGGGCAGCGGATGGTGTGGTCCAGATAGCAGTGAAGAGAGAGCGAGTGAGCACCGGCAGCTGCGGCGAGTCATGGCCCTGCGGGGAGAGAGGGGAGGCATACGTTAATAAACGTGAGCGAGGAGGAGGGTTCGGTGTTGCAGATGGGGTGGGATGTGAGAGAGGAGGAGGGGCATGGGTGGTGTGGTCCAGGCAGTGAAGAGGGAGCCAGTGAGGGCCAGCAGGTGGGGTGAGTCATGGCCCTGTATAGACAGAGCACAACACACACAGCACGTGACAGAGTAGCACATAGCAGTGTGACGCAGTCACCATGCAAAGGCAAAGGCGATGCAGAGCACAAGACAATACGGAGTCAAGCTAAGCGGCTTGGTTAGATTCCAATTTGCATGCGTCCAGCTCATCCCCAAAACACAGCTCTGCGAATGTGCAGTGGGGATCGAAGCCGTTTTGAGAAATTTCAAAAACCTCACACCGCCGCACTAGGGGATCGAAGTCTAGATTTTAGGTGCCTCAAATTGGTCTGATTCTAAACCTGCACATGTTGAGCCCATCCCCAAAACACACGGAAGTGCGAGTCGGACATCTGCAGGTTAGAATCACGAGATTTGACGTACCAAACCAAAACAAGAGCGAGCACCAGGTGCAAAGAAGGGCGATTCGCAGTCGCTGGCAGGGCAGGGTGGAGAAGCGCGGGGAGCCAAAGCCAGGTGCAGGGGGGATGAGAGAGAGAGTAAGACAAAATGGGGGGGGGGGGGGGGGGGGAGGAAAGGGAAGGGGCACCTGTTGCAGAGCAAGGGCGGTGAGCAGTCGCTGGCATGGCAGGGTGGAGAAGCATGGGGAGCCAAAGCCAGGTGCAGGGGGGATGTGAGAGAGAGTAAGACAAAATGGGGGAGGGGGGGGAGGGAAGGGGCACCTGCTGCAGAGCCAGGGCGGTGAGCAGTCGCTGGCAGGGCAGGGTGGTGAAGCGCGGCGAACCAAAGCCAGGTGGAGGAGAGATGCGGGGCAGGCGGGCAAAGGCCGTGGTGCGCGCGATGTCCTGCAGCAACCACGCTCCTGCTCTCGGGGGGAGGGAAGGAAAGGAAAGGGGGGGCGGAAGGGAGATGAGAATGAGCAAGCCATGCAGATGGGCAATGGCTGTGGCGTGAGCGACGGCATGCAGCAGCCACACTCCTGGTGGGGGGGGGAGGGAGATGGGAGGGGGGAAGGGGGAGAGGGGGCGGGAGTGTGTAAGCAGGCAGGAATAAATCAGGGGGGGCAAAGGCTGTGGTGCGAGCGATGGCATGAAGCAGCCACGCTCCTGGTGGGGGGGGAAGGGGGAAGGGGGATGGGGGGGTGGGTAGCGATGTGTGGGGATGGGGAGGAGGGCCAGGCGAGGGCAGTGGAGATGCGAGGGCCAATCAGTCGCTTCACCTTGCCCGTCTACCTTTGCAACATGCTTCTTACCTTTCTCCTCTCCACCATTCTCACTCACTGCCCAGCAGCACTGGCCGAACGCGCAAGAGGAAGCAGCGAGCAAGGGATAACGAGAGCGAGGGAGAAGCAGCTGACCTCTAGCCGGCACGGCAGACGGCATGGCATTGCCTGTGGCCTTGTGGACCGCTCCCAGCAGCACGGGCCGCAGCACCAGGTGCAGGCGCCACAGGTGCTGGTACCTGCATGCAGGGGGGTGCGGTGAGCAGAAGCAGGAGGAGATGAGACGAGGCCGTGGTAGCCTTCCCCGTGGCCTTGTGAACGCCTCCCAGCAGCAGCGCCCGCAGCAGCAGATGCAGTCCCCAAGAGTGCTGGCACCTGCAGGGGGGGGCGGCACGGCGAGACAAGTCAACGAGTGAGGCGATGGATGCGAGATAGCAGAAGAGGAGGAGAGCAACAGACCAGAGCCCCTGCAGGCAGCGTGGGTCGCCATAATAACTGAAAGCACCTAGATCTTGGAATGCTGCTGATGGGTCGTGGTGAATGAAACCAGCCAGCGGATCAACGCAAGAGCGACGTGAGCAGAATCTCGAGGGCGATGAACTGCACGGCAGTTCCACATTGAATTCCGCACAGCTCCACCTGCACGCACGGGGCCGCGCCTCCTGCCCTCCCCACTCGCTTCTTACCACCCAAGGCTCACCTGAGCAGAATCTCGAGAGCAACGAAGCTGTAGGGCGACCCCACGTCAAAGCACAGCTCCACCTGTACCCGTGCCTCTCCTTCCTCCCCTCCCCCCTCCCACCGCGGCTGCCCCCATTCCCCGCCCTCCAACCCTCCAGTCGCACCACCACTGCTGCTGCCCGCCATGCTGCTCACGTGAAACGTAACATGGTGCAAGGCGATGCGATGCGGTGCGGTGCGATGCAGTGTGGTGCGGTGCGAGGACCCTCCTCTCGCTCTCCCGTGCCCTCTACTTCCTCCCTTCCCCTCTTCCTCTCTACACGGGAGGAGGTGATTTCGGGCCGCCTCGAGCCTGTTTGGAGTCTGACGGCCGTCTGACGTCTGACGGACGTTTGACGTCGGCCGGTCGCTTGAAGTTTGGCGACCGTTTGGCGTGCTCACTGCCGCACTGCTTGGCGCAACTATCGCTGATGTGGGGAAGAAGCGCGCCGAGTGATATGTCGAAGACGGTGACAGAGACGAAGTGACGTCGAAAATCGCGACGAGTTACCTGATAACTAGAATGACTGTCGGAGTTTGTCAGAGTGCCCCACATATATTTTCGCCTCTGTAACAGTTGCGATTCGCGATGAAGACAACCAGCACCATGTTACGTTTCACGTGAGCAGCATGGCGGGCAGAACCTTGTCTCTTCAGAGCATGGTACAGTTTGACGACAGGATCGATCCTTCACCGCACTTGATCACAATGTGCTTCACTTTACCGTACCAAGCTCCTCCTCGCCTCAAAAGTTCTGCGACCCTGATGGTAACCCATGCCGACCACAGGGAAATTGTTACCACCTCCAGAAAATGCTGCTTCTTTCTCGCCACATCACCGAAGATTCAGTACAAGTTGGGAGCGGCGACTCTTCATTTAGTATTCCCTTCAGGAGCCCAGCAGCAGCAGTGAGCCCAGCAGTAGCAGTGACTCCAGTTCCTGGTCACCGAAGGAGAATGTCCAGCGCACCGCGATCCTTGGCCTAGACGGAGTGTTTCCGATCCATCAGAGACCACGACGCACCGAAATCCGTTTGCGCCGAAATCCGTTTGCGCCAGCGTCTCGTGTTAGAGTACTCAAACGTGAAAGCCGTTGGTCGGTTTGGTCGAGTCATCGTTGGCGGCTCTTCTCCGTCGCCAGTCACACCCGCCGTCTCCCGCGTCTGCCTCTCACCTGTCGCCTGTCGCCTGTCGCCTGTTGCCTGTCGCCTGTCGCCTCTCACCTGTCGCCTGTCGCCTGTCGCCTGTCGCCTGTCGCCTCCGCCGCTTTTCTTCCTGCGACATGGATTCGTCGGTCGACGACTTGGACGATCTTCTCGATAGTATGTTGACCCGCTAACAACAGTCTCGATAGTATGTTGATCCCTTAGCAGCAGCCTCGATAGTATGCTGACCTCTCGATGTTGTTTTGGTTCGTTTGTAGCAATCTCGTTAGTATGTCGGTTCGCTAACAGCGATCTCGATAGTACGTTGAATGGTTAACAGCCGTGAGCACCATCAAGTCCCTCTCGCACCATCGCCATGCGTGCCCTCTCACCCGTTTCCCATCCCCTCCCTTCCTCTTCCTCCTTCGCTTCGCCTCGCCTCACCCTCTCCTCTCTTCTCCACCCCCCACTCCCGTTCCCCTCCCCCCCCTCCTCCCCTCCCCGCATCTTCTCTCCCGCTTCCGCAACACCCGCCCTCCCCAACCCCTCCCCCTCATCTCAGGCGCACTGGAGGACTTCCGCCAAGACCCACCGGCAGCTGTTCTTGGCATGGTGTGAGGAATGGCTATCCAATATCCTCCCTCCCCTCCATCCTCCCTGCACGCTCCCTTGCCCACTCCCCCTCATCCCAGGCGCACTGGAGGACTTCCGCCAAGACCCACCAGCAGCTGCTCCCAACTCAAGCACGCCCCCCCCTGCCGCTGCTGCCTCTCCTGCCGCCACCAGCGGCACCAGCACCACCAGCAGCGCCACTGCCGCCGCTCTCCCCGCGCCAACACCCCCACTGCGTGCTGCTGCTTCGCCGCCCCTCCCTCTCTCTCCTGACGCACCCGCAGCCGCAGGCAACGCCAGTGAGGCGCCACATGCAGCCTCTGGCCCCACACCCACACCCACACCCACACCCACACCCACACTTGCAGCAGCACCCGCAGCAGCGCCGCTGGGACTAGGGCTTGGGCTAGGGCTGGGTGGGGGCCTGCCGGCCCTGCCAGGGAAGAAAAAAGGAGCCGCGCAAACAGGCAAGAAAAAGGCCGCTGCTGCTGCTGCTTCTGGCGTCGATGCTGGTGCTGGCAGTGGAAGCAGCAGCAGCGGGAGCGGAGGCAAAACGGGCGGCATATCGTCCACGTTGGAGCAGCTGCAGCAGCAGACGCAGCGCACAGTCAGCGGTATTGGGGAGGGGGACGCCACAAGAGTCGGGGCAGGAGCAGGGCGAGCAGGAGCAGCAGGAGGTGGATTGCCTGCGGGGCTGGGGGCTGGCTTCCCGGGGCTGGAGGGGTTGGGAGGGTTGGGGGGGGAAGGGGAGGAGGTGGATGAGGCGGCGGTCGAGAGACTGGTGAAGCAGTTTGAAGACATGGGCACGCAGGTAAGCAAGTGTGTCCGGGTTTGGGGGTTTCGAGGTTTGGGGGGACTGGGCGGGTTTGGGGGGACTGGGCGGGTTTGGGGGGACGGGGAGGAGATGGTGGAGAGAGTGGTGAAGCAGCTTGAAGGCATGGGGATGCAGGTGGGCGGGTGTGTGTGATCGGTGCTCGGAGGTTTGGTCACGCACAACAGAGCACAACAGAGCACAACAGAGCACAACAGAGCACAACAGAGCACAACAGAGCACAACAGAGCACAACAGAGCACAACAGAGCACAACAGAGCACAACAGAGCACGACAGAGCACAACAGAGCACAACAGAGCACAACAGAGCACAGCAGAGCACAACAGAGCACAACAGAGCACAGCAGAGCACAACAGAGCACAACAGAGCACAACAGAGCACAACAGAGCACAGCAGAGCACAACAGAGCACAACAGAGCACAGCAGAGCACAACAGAGCACAACAGAGCACAGCAGAGCACAGCAGAGCACAACAGAGCACAGCAGAGCACAGCAGAGCACAACAGAGCACAACAGAGCACAACAGAGCACAACAGAGCACAGCAGAGCACAACAGAGCACAACAGAGCACAACAGAGCACAACAGAGCACAACAGAGCACAACAGAGCACAACAGAGCACAACAGAGCACAACAGAGCACAACAGAGCACGACAGAGCACGACAGAGCACAACAGAGCACAACAGAGCACAACAGAGCACAGCAGAGCACAACAGAGCACAACAGAGCACAGCAGAGCACAACAGAGCACAACAGAGCACAACAGAGCACAACAGAGCACAGCAGAGCACAACAGAGCACAACAGAGCACAGCAGAGCAAAACAGAGCACAACAGAGCACAGCAGAGCACAGCAGAGCACAACAGAGCACAGCAGAGCACAGCAGAGCACAACAGAGCACAACAGAGCACAACAGAGCACAACAGAGCACAGCAGAGCACAACAGAGCACAGCAGAGCACAACAGAGCACAACAGAGCACAGCAGAGCACAACAGAGCACAACAGAGCACAACAGAGCACAGCAGAGCACAACCGAGCACAGCAGAGCACAACAGAGCACAACAGAGCACAACAGAGCACAACAGAGCACAACAGAGCACAACAGAGCACAACAGAGCACAACAGAGCACAACAGAGCACAGCAGAGCACAACAGAGCACAACAGAGCACAGCAGAGCACAACAGAGCACAACAGAGCACAGCAGAGCACAACAGAGCACAGCAGAGCACAGCAGAGCACAACAGAGCACCACAGAGCACAACAGGAGCACAACAGAGCACAACAGAGCACAACAGAGCACAACAGAGCACAACAGAGCACCAACAGAGCACAACAGAGCACAACAGAGCACAACAGAGCACAACAGGAGCACCAGACAGAGCACAACAGAGCACAACAGAGCACAACAGAGCACAGACAGAGCACAACAGAGCACAACAGAGCAACAACAGAGCACAGCAGAGCACAACAGAGCACAACAGAGCACAACAGAGCACAGCAGAGCACAACAGAGCACAAACAGAGCACAACAGAGCACAGCAGAGCACAGCAGAGCACAACAGAGCACAACAGAGCACAGCAGAGCACAGCAGAGCACACAAGCCAAGAGCACAACAGGAGCACAACAGAGCACAACAGAGCACAACAACAGACAAGCAGAGCACAGCAGAGCAACAAGCAGAGCACAACAGACCACAGACCAGAGCACAGCAAGCACAAGCAAGCAGAGCACAACAGAGCACAACAGAGCACAACAGAGCACAACAGAGCACAACAGGGCACAGCAGAGCACAACAGAGCACAGCAGAGCACAACAGAGCACAACAGAGCGCAACAGAGCACAACAGAGCACAGAAGCACAACAGAGGCACAGCAGAGCACAACAGAGCACAACAGAGCACAACAGAGCACAACAGAGCACAGCAGAGCACAACAGAGCACAACAGAGCACAGCAGAGCACAACAGAGCACAGCAGAGCACAACAGAGCACAGCAGAGCACAACAGAGCAAACAGAAACACAGAGCACAACAGAGCACAACAGAGCACAACAGAGCACAAGCAGAGCACAACAGAGCACACAGAGCACAAACAGAGCACAACAGAGCACAACAAACAAAGAGCACAACAGAGCACAACAGACACAACAGAGCACAACAAGCAAACAGAGCACAACAGAGCACACAGCACAGAGCACACAGAGCACAAAGAGCACAACAGAGCACACAGCAGAGCCACAGCAGAGCACAACAGAGCACAACAGAGCACAGCAGAGCACAGCAGAGCACAACAGAGCACAACAGAGCACAGCAGAGCACAGCAGAGCACAACAGAGCACAGCAGAGCACAACAGAGCACAACAGAGCACAACAGAGCACAACAGAGCACAACAGAGCACAACAGAGCACAACAGAGCACAACAGAGCACAACAGAGCACAACAGAGCACAACAGAGCACAACAGAGCACAACAGAGCACAACAGAGCACAACAGAGCACCACAGAGCACGACAGAGCACAACAGAGCACAACAGAGCACAACAGAGCACAACAGAGCACAACAGAGCACAACAGAGCACAGCAGAGCACAGCAGAGCACAACAGAGCACAACAGAGCAAAACAGAGCACAACAGAGCACAACAGAGCACAACAGAGCACAGCAGAACACAACAGAGCACAACAGAGCACAGCAGAGCACAACAGAGCACAGCAGAGCACAACAGAGCACAACAGAGCACAACAGAGCACAACAGAGCACAACAGGGCACAGCAGAGCACAACAGAGCACAACAGAGCACAACAGAGCACAACAGAGCACAGCAGAGCACAACAGAGCGCAACAGAGCACAACAGAGCACAGCAGGCACAACAGAGCACAGCAGAGCACAACAGAGCACAACAGAGCACAACAGAGCACAACAGAGCACAGCAGCACAACAGAGCACAACAGAGCACAGCAGAGCACAACAGAGCACAACAGAGCACAGCAGAGCACAGCAGAGCACAACAGAGCACAACAGAGCACAACAGAGCACAACAGAGCACAACAGAGCACAACAGAGCACAACAGAGCACAACAGAGCACAACAGAGCACAACAGAGCACAACAGAGCACAACAGAGCACAACAGAGCACGACAGAGCACGACAGAGCACAACAGAGCACAACAGAGCACAACAGAGCACAGCAGAGCACAACAGAGCACAACAGAGCACAGCAGAGCACAACAGAGCACAACAGAGCACAACAGAGCACAACAGAGCACAGCAGAGCACAACAGAGCACAACAGAGCACAGCAGAGCAAAACAGAGCACAACAGAGCACAGCAGAGCACAGCAGAGCACAACAGAGCACAGCAGAGCACAGCAGAGCACAACAGAGCACAACAGAGCACAACAGAGCACAACAGAGCACAGCAGAGCACAACAGAGCACAGCAGAGCACAACAGAGCACAACAGAGCACAGCAGAGCACAACAGAGCACAACAGAGCACAACAGAGCACAGCAGAGCACAACCGAGCACAGCAGAGCACAACAGAGCACAACAGAGCACAACAGAGCACAACAGAGCACAACAGAGCACAACAGAGCACAACAGAGCACAACAGAGCACAACAGAGCACAGCAGAGCACAACAGAGCACAACAGAGCACAGCAGAGCACAACAGAGCACAACAGAGCACAGCAGAGCACAACAGAGCACAGCAGAGCACAGCAGAGCACAACAGAGCACACAGAGCACAACAGAGCCACAACAGAGCACAGCAGAGCACAACAGAGCACAACAGAGCACAACAGAGCACAACAGAGCACAACAGAGCACAACAGAGCACAACAGAGCACAGCAGAGCACAACAGAGCACAACAGAGCACAACAGAGCACGACAGAGCACAACAGAGCACAACAGAGCACAACAGAGCACAGCAGAGCACAACAGAGCACAACAGAGCACAACAGAGCACAACAGAGCACAACAGAGCACAACAGAGCACAACAGAGCACAGCAGAGCACAGCAGAGCACAACAGAGCACAACAGAGCACAGCAGAGCACAGCAGAGCACAACAGAGCACAACAGAGCAAACAGAGCACAACAGAGCACAACAGAGCACAACAGAGCACAGCAGAGCACAACAGAGCACAACAGAGCACGCAGAGCACACAGAGCACAACAGAGCACAGCAGAGCACAACAGAGCACAACAGAGCACAACAGAGCACAACAGAGCACAACAGGGCACAGCAGAGCACAACAGAGCACAGCAGAGCACAACAGAGCACAACAGAGCGCAACAGAGCACAACAGAGCACAGCAGAGCACAACAGAGCACAGCAGAGCACAACAGAGCACAACAGAGCACAACAGAGCACAACAGAGCACAGCAGAGCACAACAGAGCACAACAGAGCACAGCAGAGCACAACAGAGCACAGCAGAGCACAACAGAGCACAGCAGAGCACAACAGAGCACAACAGAGCACAGCAGAGCACAACAGAGCACAACAGAGCACAACAGAGCACAGCAGAGCACAACAGAGCACAGCAGAGCACAACAGAGCACAACAGAGCACAACAGAGCACAACAGAGCACAACAGAGCACAACAGAGCACAACAGAGCACAACAGAGCACAACAGAGCACAACAGAGCACAGCAGAGCACAACAGAGCACAACAGAGCACAGCAGAGCACAGCAGAGCACAACAGAGCACAACAGAGCACAGCAGAGCACAGCAGAGCACAACAGAGCACAACAGAGCACAGCAGAGCACAGCAGAGCACAACAGAGCACAGCAGAGCACAACAGAGCACAACAGAGCACAACAGAGCACACACAGAGCACAACAGAGCACAACAGAGCACAACAGAGCACAACAGAGCACAACAGAGCACAACAGAGCACAACAGAGCACAACAGAGCACAACAGAGCACAACAGAGCACAACAGAGCACACAGAGCACGAACAGAGCACAACA